AAAAAAAAAAAAAAAATCCTCTGCTTTAACAAAGCTCAAAAATAGTTAATGGAATGTCATCTAGAGATACAAGAGGTATTTTGAAAAAAAAGTCAGTTATTTCTTTGTGCTGAGAGTTTAATAAACTGGAATTGGTTTATTCAACTTTAGTGGTTGATATTTCAGTGTTCAAACTCTGTTTTTTATTCCTTTTATAGTTCACACAAAATGGCAAGTATTACTTCGTAATTACATCTTATATGTTTATGTATGCGGTTCTGTGCAGTATTTGATAAATTGGGTATTATTTTAAGGGAATATACTAAGCATGACAGAAGTCTAACTAAAATGAAAGTTTCAAGTAAGGGGCCAGCAGATGGTGTGGTGGTTAAGGGCACTGGACTCCTACCTGACTAACCGTGGTTTGAGTCCTGGACCTGGCAGCTTGCTTTCTCACATTCTCTCTCTGTGTTCCTCTCTTTTCAAAAGAAAATAAACAAATACATAAAGTTACGTGTAAAATAATTCTTTAAAAAAAACAAAGTTTCAAGCAAAGCAACACACACACATACCCACACACACAGTTAACACACTGAAAGAAAATATTGTCAAAAACATTACTTTTGGGGACCAGCAGTTAATGTAACGGCTATGTCACTGGACTCCCATGTAGTCGACCACGGTTCGCGTCCCAGACCCGGTGGCTTGAAACTCATGCCGGGTGCGTGTGCGTGCGTGCCCATGATCCCAAGAGGAGAATGGAGGAGAAGGGATTGCAGCATGGCCATCCTCCCTGGGGGGTGATTTCTCGCTTTCTGTCTCCCTGTCTGCCTGTCTGGCGAGCACACGTGCCCTGTAGCAAAAATCTCTCAAAAAAAACCAAACCAACAAACAAAAAAAAACAACCAACCAACCAAACCAACAAACAAAAACATTACTTTTGGAGGCCAGCAGGTGGCATGGTGCTTAAGGCACTGGACTCTCATGTGTTTGACTATGGTTGGAGTCCCAGACCTGGCCAACTGAAAATGACAATAGGCTGTGTGTGTGTGTGTGTGTGTGTGTGTGTGTGTGTGTGTGTGTGCCCAAAATCCAGAGAGGAGAATGGAGGAAAAGGGATTACCATGTGCCTATCTTGGAAGGTGATTTCTCACTTTCCCTCATACTGTCTCTCTCTGGCAAGAACACACACTCTATGGAAAAAGCCTTAAAATAAAGAACAAGAAAATTATTTTTGTAATAATATATTCATGCTTTAGATGAAAGTCTATCAAGTAAAGATATTTAATACATTGCATTATCAAAATTGGTTGTATTCACTTTACATAGAACTCTAAGGTACTTTTTTTTTTTTTTTTAAAGAATTGTCTACTCAAGGGGCTGGCAGTTGGCATGGTGGTTAAGATGCTGGACTCCCACATGGCTGACCATGGTTCGAGTCCTGGACCTGGCGGCTTGCTTTCTCACTTTCCATGTCTCGCTCTTCCCCTCTCTCTCCCTTTCTCTTGCTCTGTCCCTCTCTAGTTAAATTAAAATAAGTAAATAAAGTTAAATAAAATAATTCTCTTAAAAAAAGAATCATCTACTCCATTATTTATTAATTTTTAATTTGACCAGAGAGACAGAGAGGGGAAAGTAAGAAAGCAAGCTACCAGGTCCAGAACTCAAACTGTGGTCGGCCATGTGGGAGTCTAGCGCCTCAACCACCCCGCCATCTGCCAGCCACTTAAGATACACATATTTATAAAAAATCCCACATACTCCATTATAATTAGATCAGGAATTTGAAAGCAATGTTGTGCTTAGTTATATTTAAAAAGTTAAGCTAAGGGGCCAGCAGGTGGTATGGTGGTTGGGGTGCCAGACTCCCACACTTTGAGACCCAGACCTGGTAGCTTGCTCTCTTACTTTCTCTTTCTCTCTCTTTGTCTCTCCCTGGCAAGTGCCTGTATCAAATTAAAAAATAATAATAATGATAAATAGTTTTTAAAATTAAGCTAAATTAAAACCAATAAAAT